AAACATATGAAAATCCACTAACCCCTCATTTTATCTGTCAAACTTTCATAGCTAATCAAAACAAACATTGTGTAGTACTAGAATTTTGACTATAATGGGGTACGATCAACAATCAATACGAAACTAACGATTTTAAATTGGCTCACCACTTTAGTAGCCTATTGGTCCCAAGCAAACGATTAACGTACCCTATTCTAGTTGAAATTCTATTACTACACTATGTTTGTTTTGATTCGCTATGAAAGTTTGACAGATAACATCAGGGGTGTGTGGATTCATGCAGAACATGCAGGGGTGAGTGAAATAGCTTGGGACTGCTTGGGACCGTTGTTCTGGTACTGAGTGAGCCAAAAATAATAATGATTTTCTTCGGGACCCAGTGGTCTTAGAGTTACCTCTATGGTACGATAATCGTTTGCTTGGGACCAATAGGCCAGTCAAGTAGTGAGCCAATTTAAAATCGTTAGTTTCGTATTGATTGTTGCTAAAACGCTGTACAGACTGGAGAGTTATAACATGTTATAACGGTTGTCAAATAATTGCAACACAGAAAGCACCATCAAGATAGCGTTATAACATGTTATAAATCTGTAGTCTGAACGTACTATAATAGTACGTTCAGACTACAGAGTTATAACATGTTATAGCGCTATCTTGATGGTGGTTTCTGTGTTGCAATTATTTGACAACCGTTATAACATGTTATAACTCTCCAGTCTGGACAGCGTTTAAGACTAGTAGGTCCCGAAGAAACGTGCTCAAGTTTTTGGCTCACCTCTGGTACTATCGTCGGTCCCGAGCTAATCGATGCACCCCTCGAAACATAGGAAAATCCATGAACCCCTTATTTTATCTGCCAAACTTTCATAGCGAATCTAAACAAACATTGTGCAGTACTAGAATTTTGACTAGAATGGGGTACATTAATCGATTTGCTTGGGACCAATAGGCTAGTCAAGCAGTGAGCCAATTTAAAATCGTTAGTTTCCACCGGTTGTTATAACTCTGTAGTCTGAACTAGAGTCGGTGTATAATGAGTCACGCCAAGAGAAAACAGTTGAACTCGCATCACGGTTTTCGAAAGATTCCCTTTCTTTTCACTTGGCTACAGAGGACTTCTACATCAACTTCAAATGACTTCTAGCGAGAAAAAAATAGCGGCTGTAGTAAATCATTATATCAGTGATTTATTCAAATTATCTTAACCAAAAATAGTAGAAATTTTCATAACTGATCATTACCAAACGTATCCCATGACAATTTATTGCTCACTGCGTTTTTATGATCATTTCTTCGATTTTTTTTTTATTAATTACTTTATTTGTACAGGCTTAATCGAATAAACTTTACAGAGTCGAGTTATCATTTTCGTTATACATTATTGATATCTTATATTTAAAGTTAAAGGAGCTGGACCGGATACTCGCGGTTGTCTCGAGGTAAGTGGAGATTTACAATTTTTTTGGATGGGAAAAGGGAGAAGGAGGTTTGAAATGTGGTTTACGATACAAATGTTTAATTAATCCTAAAACATGAACTTAGTTCTATTCATCTTGAAAACAAACCCACACGTACAAAATATAAACTAAACACAAGGTTAATCAAACTTACAATCTAAGGTTAATATTCTTAAAGTAAACATATATGAGTTTCATAAACTCCAGATCACGTCTAGCCAAAATATCCCGAACTGAAACATTAGGTTGACTACCTCGAGCCCGAAGGGAATCGTACAGCTCAGATCTGACTCCACGATGCTCAACACATGACCAAATAATATGATCGGCGTCCTGGTAACCTTGTCCACATTCACAGAGATTGCTGTCCTCCAGCCCAACACGGAACAAGTGAGCGTTTAACGAAAAGTGATTGGACATGAGGCGAGACATCATACGAATGAAGTCTCGACCCACATCCAACCCCTTGAACCAAAGACTCTTCGGGATGATCGAATATAGCCATCGTCCCAAACTCCCTTCACTCCACTTATTCTGCCAGCTGACGAGTGACTGTTGACGGTAAATGAAGAAAAATTCATCGTAGGCAGTTCTTCGATTATATTTTATATTTTATTGCAATAGGAGATCTGGCCTCACTGGCCCTGCGTTCGGTCGTTGTTTTTTGTAGGACTGATATTAAGAAACTATTTCGTGAGTTTAAGCCGGTGTTAAATATTTTAATTTGATGGAAGTGTTAGCATTAAGTGAAATACAGTACAGGTCAACGAGTTTTAGTGAAAACGGTGTCTAAATATGGACAGGAGTCCTAATTTATGTTGCTCTGGAAAGGGAAAGTTTGAGTCAGCCATATTTTTTTTTTTTTTGTCTATACTTCGGATACGTGGATAGCAGTATAATAACGGGTGTGAGTGTGTGTATTGACAGCAAAATATCTCCTGATGCCACTTCTACCGTGAGACGAAGCTTATGCTCTGGCTGTGAGGAATGTTGTCTGCCCGGAGTAGTTGGACTAAATACATAATCGCAAAGGAATCAGCTAAGTATCATGTTTCAAACTAAAATATTGGCAAAAATTCTCGAGTAGCTAATACTGTGATATTGTGAATTAGGCAGATACAAAATTCGTTATGAGTGTGTGATGTTTTGTTTTGTTGGTGTGCTTGATTTTTACTATCCTTTCTCCCAACTGGAAATTCTTATCAAACGGTCGATCTTTGCTGGAGTGGGAAAGTGTGAGCGCCGAAATTGTGTTTCGTGGTAGTGGTAGAAGAGCTCATCTAACTGCACTGTGCGCTGTCCTGGTCGGGCGTGTTTTGCGATGGTGTGAGAGAGTAAACTTGCTCTAGTTGCTTCTTTCATACCGGCGTGAGTGCCGGCCGGCGCACAGTGTAGGAATGCTTTTCCCCTCAAGGGAGAACCGTTACGGGTTAAAGTGAAGAGCTGTGACATCTTTATTCTCGGAACCACTTCGAAACTTTACGTGAATTTTATTCTATGACTAAGAGTGTGAATGAACCCAAAATGCATGAGTGAATGTGAATGGGGCAAACGTGATACCAGTATGTATTGTATAATGGTATTTTTACAGTTTGTACCGTTCTGATTCATATTACGAACACGCTCAAATTCTGAGCACTTGTGTTTTTGTATGGGACGGATTTTGAAAAATTTTCTTTTAGGATGTCCATATTACGATAAGTCGTGAGTTTAAATACATTCTGAGCGGATCAGCAATATTTTAGGTAGAAAAGGTGTTTTCAAAGGATGATTTTAACGCACTGTTCGGAATTTGAATCAATACGGTAAATCGCGCGATGATCGAGACGTTTCCGTCGGATAAGATTATTTTGCGGCCGAGTGTCTAGGAAGCTATGGAAACCGAAATGGCTCTTGATTTTGTTTTATGCCCTTATAGTATAAACCACCATCGCACTTCGTGAGTTGTCCCAATAGAACCCTTGCTTTTGGTTTGAATCAGTACAAATTCGTTCTATTATATAAAAAAAAAAAAGAAGTGTACATATTCATTTTCTTCCGAACTAAATAAACCACCATCACACTTTGTGAGTGGCCCCAACAGTATCCTTGCCGTTGGTCTAAATCGGGTCAAATCGGTTCTAATAATTATTTTATATTCAATCAAGTAAACCACCATCACACTTTGTGAGTGGCCCCAACAGCATCCTTGCTGTTGGTTTAAATCGGTTCAAACCGCTTATAATTAATTATTTTGGTCATTGATAAAATAAAATAAACCATCATCACACTTTGTGAGGGGCCCCAACAGTATCCTTATTGTTGGTTTAAATCGGTATACACACATCTAATAATGATCTACATCTCTAGACAGCCGGCTGTTTAGAGCATAAATCGAAAACACTTATAAATAACTACACAAAACAAAAGATCCCATCACTTATCAAGGTGAATCCTGATCCAACGAACCTAACCCACTAACAAAACCTCCTTCCTGTGACTTTTGTGGGATGCAGAGGTAAACACGGTCCCAAAACAACAAAAGTCACACACTAACATTCCTTCCCTCTCCCACCTGATTGCAAGGACGTGGCCGGTGACGTTATTGATCTTTAAAGGTAGGAGTCACTGGAACATGTACACTGAGAATGGCAGGTTACTCCCAAGCCCCATTCAGTTGATTCTTTGTACAATTTCACTGGTTCAGATCAATCACGGAGTGCAACTATCGATACGTGCAGTCAGACTAAGCTAAGCTAAGCTATATTTTATATTTTATTGCAATATCTTTCGTGGACCTTTCATAGCATCGTAATGTTTGCGTACTTTGCACGATAGGTAGCCGGTTTGACAGTTCAATAGGTAGACTTGGCTTCACTCTTGGCGTGACTCATTATACACCGACTCTAGTCTGAACGTACTATAAAATAAAGAAACATGTTACAAATTATACTCACCATAAAATTTGTCTGTGATAAAATGTTCAGCCACAGACAAACAGACATAACACTTACCAAGTTGTTCATCGAACAAGCATTTAACGGACAATTTAAAAGTATCGTAGTTGGTAGTACCGCCACCTGTGGCGCGCATAGTCAATTCCCTTGCGTTTGACGTTTACACACTACCGCCATCTGTTCAGCGTACTCAACAGATGGCGGTAATGTTTTAGCGACGATGTTTTACGATAAGAAATATTCAATGAGATGTGTCTGTTTGTCTGTACATTAAGTGTTGATTGATCACAATACAGATTGTGATCGAGCGCGGACTTGAGGTTAATAGACTATTAAATAATCTAGGTCCTTTTAAGATTACATATGAAAAACCTAAATTTTGCCAATGTCCACCACAGTCCACAAAGACGTAGTTCTACGTAAAAAAAAACTACTATTCAATCCCTGCGATTCAACTTCCATGACTTGCCTACCAAAAAGACGAAAGCTTTTCGTTATCTATGACGGACGTTACTATTTGTAACGCTACATTCGTTATTCTTTAAAACAATTTGCCCCTAGATAAAGATATCTCCCACTGATAAGAAATCACACAAGGGAAAACATTTCGCACTCCAACTAGATTTCAAGTTGCATAGAGGTGTTTTGTTACAGCTCTTCGATTTTATTTTCTGAAAAAAATGGATGCTGATTGGACTAATAACGAGACTTACCGTGCAATACCACAAATGGAAGTGGGTAATCCTGAGGAGGTTGGTATTTTAAATAATAGCTAAATTTTAGTACTGGTTAATGAAACAAACTGTTATCTTTTCTTAAGACGAAGGAACCTGCTCCAACGCCAACCAAGGGCAAATATGACACAAACAATATGTTCACACAAAGTATCTTCGATCTAACGCTCATTACTATCAACATTTGCCAAATATGTTACATATTGAAAGTTGGACCCGATCTAGGAATTTTATATTACATAATGTTGGGATTACTGGGTATCTCATTGACTCTGCTGGTGAGTATCTATAGTCTGATATGCGTTTTTGTTTTCAATCCTCATCATCAATACTTTATCAATCAATTTTGCAGTCTATCCATGGCTTCATGGGTCTATTTGGACGACTTCGGTGCAGTACGCCGCTCTCTGATGGATGTTTCAATTGTTTGTATAACACTTCACTGTTTATGGTCGTGCTCGTGTACTTGGTAAATCTAGTGTTCAGCGTGCTAAACTTGAAGGAGACGGAGGACAAATGCCAGATTATTGTGAACAACATGAGAAACAGAACTGTCACATAATGTGCTTTACGGAGTTTCGAAATATAAGTTAAAGCGACTCATGAGTAGCTATGTACATTTTTTATGTAAGATGCATACAAACAACAAAGCGTGATCAACATTCACTTAGATCCAACTTCGCTAGGAGAATCGGTTATAAATTCCACAGCTTGATTTGTGCTTTTTTTGGGACGGTCAACCGGCTTTAGCAAACCCGAGTCCACTACCGTATTGTGCTCTCGAGTGAGATGCTCCTGCAATTTTAGCTTCCGTTGGAACGTTTGAACACAGAAGGGACACTTATAAAACTTCGAATACTCCCGGTAGATTCCTTGGTGAGCCTTCAGATGTGTCATCATGTTATACCTGCAAAGACCAATCGTCGTTAATCTTTCGAAATAATCTGTAAAACTTACCTTTGAGCAAACTTCTGTCCGCACGTGGGGCACTCGAAAGGTTTTTCTCCTGAATGAACCTACAGAAATACAAATGTCATTAAAATATCTATAAAATGAACTTGTGCAATATTGAGGAAATGTCATTCAGAAATTTTACCCTCATGTGACGCTTTAGATGAGAGCTAGAACGTAGCATGAATCCACAAATTTCGCACTTTTTCTCCCGTATATTGCCATGAGCGAGCTGGTGCATATGGAACGAAGAGTAGTGAATAAACTGTTTTCCACATTTATCACATTGATAAGGTCTCTCGCCTAAAACAGACAAAAATATTAGCATTATATTTAATAACGCTGAACAAAATAAAGCATTCGAATACCAGTATGAATTGGGACGTGTCGTGCTAATGCTCCCTTCTGCTGGAACTTCTTCCCACAAAACGTACAATCATAGTTCGATGCTCTACTATGCTTAGCGACGTGGGATGCAAGTGCCGGTTTCGTTTTAACCTTCAATCCACAAACATTACACACCCAGGAATTCTTGCTTTCAGCTTCTGGATGATGCACCTTCAAATGATTCTAAAATTCCGGAAATTTCACAACGGTCATTTCGAACAATTCTGGCGGAATATTCCATACGATATAGGTACCTTAAGCTTTCCCTTGGAACTAAACTCTAGTTCACAATGAGAACAGGGCACTCCAACTTTAAGCAATTTTACGCTCTTTTCGTCTTCCATTTCCTCTATGTCTGAGAGGAAATCCAGCTGCTCAAAATGGATTTCTTCATCAGATTGTACCCGTTCTTGAATATCACTATCCCCGCCTATCCTATCTTCCTTGTCATCATCGTCCAATCGCTCCTCATCAATATATTCAGCTTCGCCGCAATTATCATCTTCGACATCATCCAAAAACTCCATACAAAATTCTTCCTTCACAGGTTTATGTGTGTGTTGCTGCATCTCGTACAGAGAACCTAAATTAACCCCGCAGGTGTTGCACTTCATAGACACCGTACTGTCCGAGCCTTCTATAGGTGGTTTCGTATCTTCCGGTGGTGGCTCCTCTTGGGCGACCTCCCGTACTATCTGATCCAGCTCTACCAACTCGTCCATATATGATCCATCGGTCTCCACCTTGAAATACATCTGCTCCTCCGGCTGTATTTTATTCCCGATGATAGTAAAATTTTTCCGCAGCAAGTCGGTAAACTCCTGTTGGATGATGATCGCCTTCGTATGGGCCGCGTCGTAATCGTTCAGTTTGACCATACACTCCTGGCAGATTACCGAAGCGATCAGGCTTGCGACATTTTCGGATAAATCCCCCTCTAAGAAGCGCTCGATCACCTTGTAGATTAAAGTGCCGGAATACTTGGTCGACAGCTGCATCAGGTTCCGAAAAGGTTGCGACGTTTCCTCCGCACAAATGAAACACTTTTCAGCTGCATTCTCCATGATTACTACAAACTTTATATTTTAAACGAACGACCAAGCTTTTATTCCTGTTGGTCTCATCGCTTCGCGCTGTTGAGCTTGTTTTTGTTTACAAGTTTGACGTTTGGATAGGGATGTCGTAAAATAATCGGTTAGAGCGAGATAATAATCGATAACCACATAATTCTCGCGTCACTTTTCAAATAGACCAATGTAACGTCCCTAATAAAAATAACCATAAAAGAGAGCTTAACGACGTGTTCGGGTATCATCCAAACCATTTGTGGGATAGTTTACCCATCCGGGACATTGTTCGTTTATGGTATTTGTTTATTATGGATATCCACCATTTTAAGAAGAAGAGAAAGTTAATTAATTATTTTCTCTTTTATATATTAAAAGAACACAGCAAAAAAAGTTGTTGAATATTACATCGAAACTGCTGCAACCAGGTCAATCCATCGGTTGTGTAATATCACAATGTACGATGTACATCAATTTTGCGAACAAAATTACATCCATTGATGTAATATTGTATCTGCTTTTTGCTATTACATCATTATTTCATACATCAGCTAGAATTACGTTGATCGATATTACATTTTTTTTTGCTGTGAAGGGAATAGTCCCTTCTTTATCGTTTATCCAAAGAATTAATTATTTCATTTTGTTGTTTTCAAAGAATGGAATATTCTCTTCTTTATCGTATATCCAAAGAATTAATTATTTACAGCTTTTGGAAATGAATTCGGGGTAATGGCCATTCGGGGTAATGGTAATTCGGGGTAATGTACCGTTCAGGGTAACGGCGTTCGGGGTTATGACGTTCGGGGTAGTGTCATAGAACCGTTACATTGGACTATTTTTCTCAATGACATAATCAATGAGTGTTGCATTGGACGTTTTGTTCTACATGATTCTAGATTCCCTTTCACAGATTTCAGAGTGGAGTACCTATACACTAATAAAATTCCACACATAAACAAATTCCACATAATTTTCATGTGACCACACATAAACAGAATCCACCCAGAAGCGATGGGGCTGTGAACTCGAGTATTTTCGATTCATCTACCCGACTTGAAATAAGGTGTATTTTGGTATTAAATTCATTATGAAATGTAGTTTTCGTGTACAAAGTATTTTTGATGTATTTTTGAGTATTTTTATAAGGGAAAAGAGAGTATTTTTATTAGAGAAAACCTAAGAGAAGAGGTGACAATACGGGGGCAAAAATGAACCACTTTTCTGTGAAACGTGAACCAGCTCCTGATTGGCCGATTTCATGTGCGTAAGATAAAGATAGAGATAGATAAAGATAGAGATAGAAATAAAAGAGAAAGAGAAGAAGCCAATTCGACAGTGAGCATGCATAAGGGCCTATACGCGATGATCGATTCTCTTCGTCGATTTTCTCTTTCGTTAATAACTCGCTAGATTGAATGTTTATCGGTGCGTTTGCTGTTGCTGTTGATAGCCAATACAACCTGTTACTACTATGCATTGAACAAATCGACAGTGAGCATGCATAAGGGCGAATACGCGCTGATCGATTCTCTTCATCGATTTTCTCTTTGCATTGCTACAGCTAAGCGAAACAATTTTCTAGAATTTGTTCAATGCAAAGTAGTAACAGGTTGTATTGGCTATCAAAAGCAACAGCAAACGCACCGATAAACGTTAAATCTAGCGAGTTATGAACGAAAGAGAACATCGACGAAGAGAATCGATCATCGCGTATAGGCCCTTATGCATGCTCACTGTCGAATTGTTTCGCTTAGCTGTAGCAATGCAAAGAGAAAATCGATGAAGAGAATCGATCATCGCGTATTCGCCCTTATGCATGCTCACTGTCGAATTGTCACCTCTTCCTCTTAGGAGAAAACCGATGAAGAGAATCGATCATCACGTATACGCCCTTATGCATGCTCACTGTCGAAATAAGAGTTTTGTCAAATGTTGTCAACGCATCAAAACTTTTCAAAACATTGTAAAAATTCGAAAAATAGGTAAATACTGCGAAGTTTACGTGAAAAACAGTGTTCTTTCATTTCACGTGACACCGTATAGAACCGACTTGCATTGAAAATGATGCAATGTAAACCGATTTTAACCTGTGAGTGCTTATGACGCGAGGAACCGAATAAAAATAACATCCTTGGATTTCCACAGATTCCGGCGATACCCGAATTTTCAAGTCGCTAGAACCACACATCGTTGCGGCGCTCCCATCGGACACGGCAGAATGGAAGCGTTCATACGGTCGTCCGGTGAAAAATGTTCGTGTCGAAGCCACCTTCAAGCCGTTCGATCCGAACCTGCTAGAGAAGTACCGCGATGGAAGCTGGAGCATCGTTGACCACCCGGTGATGCACATTTACGTGACGGAGTGTAACGACGTTGAAGCGTATCGGGCGTCAGTTAAGGAAGAGATCGATCAGTGGCTGAAAACGTTGAACGGCTACAATGTTACGGATTGGATGATACTGCTAGTGGAAACATTGGATATCAAAAAGTCCAAAAACATTCTTCCCCGGACAACGGTTTTAGACAAGATCCGATTGGATTTCGCATCCAAGAATGGCGATCGATGTTTGTCGGTCTTGAACCCGACCAAGTTTGAGCTGAAAGCGACAGAGTCGTTTCGTTGTTTGCTCCAGAGGATTCGTCATCTAATGCTGACGGGTTACAATAAGAATATCGTGAAATATGAAGAGCTGATTCGTTCGAATCGAGAGAATAGGATACAAGAGAACTGGAATTTTGTAGATTATTTTCTGTTGCAAGAGGAACTTGCGTTCGTGCTGGAAATGCTCGGGCAATATTCGGAAGCGTTGGTTCAGTACGATGAACTGGATGCTCTTTTTTCGCAATTCATCTTGAATTCGGTATATGGCGATAAGCAAAAGTGGTTGCAGATATTCGATCAACCGTTGTATGCATTTCATGGTATTTCACTGAATCCGATTAAGATGGATGAGACACGTAAGAAAATTATCAGTCAGTCGGTGAACTTGTTGGAGTTTAGAAGCTATCTGTTCGAACGGCAATGCTTACTGCTGGATGCCAACGGAAAACCATGGGAAATTGCTGAACGTTTGTTACCGTTCTTGTTTTCAACACTTCGAGAAATCGATGCTCTGAAGCTGGAAACGCCCGAAGGAGCATTGGCGTGTTGGGAATTTGTGTGTGCTCTCGAAGTGCTGAATCTTTGCGACAAGGTGCAAGAATCGAAGGACATTCATAAGTGTTCCCAATATTCGGCTCCAATTTGGAATCTTGCCAAGGATAAACTGTACAGTCTTGGCAAGCAATGCGGTCTGCTACCGGGATTTCAGCCAACCTCGGAACAGCTCCATACCGTCGTGCATTTGTCAGCTGGTATGGGTGACAGCATCCCGGAGAGCACCGGTGCTTTGCTGGAAGTGGATGTAAAGGATAGGAAAGCACATTCCCCGGCACGCAAACCGAAAAAGTCTGCTACCGATAGTTTGAAGGAAGCGTTAGGATCTAACCAGGCATTTACTAAGTTGTATCTAGAATTGAGCGAATTGGCTATCAGTACGTACAAACACGTATCACGGTTGCGATCTGCCCGGCTGGTGGGACTGGATCTAGGCAATTTCTACATTACGCTCGATGAACCTCAGAAAGCGGTAGTATTCTTCACGGATTTGTTGCGAGAGCTTAAAAGCGAGAACTGGCATCACCTATCCAGTCAAACGTTGCTGGAGCTGGCTTCGTGCTACAAAAAGATGGATGATTGCGTCAACTATACCAAAACGTGCAGTGCCATTTCTTGCTGCCTGGACCTGGAGATGATGGTGCGAACGTTCTATTTTGATGAATTTGTTAAATCGTTAAAGAAGCTAAAGGAGCTAAGAAATGTCGACATTGATGCACTCAATGTTATAACTGTGCTTGATGACCATTTCAAGGTAAGTTTATGTTAGTAGCGCAGAAATTTTATAATCTGACTAAGTTAGCCAACTTTTGTGTGCGCCCTTATGAATAAAACAACCTTTGATTTAGATAATCGACATCAACATCGCACAAACTTCCATAATTCAGGATGACGTCGTGTCGGTCGTACTTAAAGTCGACAGCTACTTCCCTCGTGAAATATTCTGCGAGCAAGTGTTGCTTTCGTTCGGCATGAATCCTAAGCAACCTTCCGACGCTGCACCATCAATCGCAACGGCGACCGAACCGTCGGCTTTGCTGCCGATCTCCGTGCATTTGGACTACAAGCAGGATCACACCTTGAGCTGCGCCTCGGTTGCATGTGACAACAAAGCCAAGCAGCCGGTCAGACGAACCAGCAGCACACGCCGAAAGATATCGCCTACCCAACGTTCAGATTTCACCAACTGTGTGAGCATCGAAAAAGTTTTACTCCAACCAGGATCCAATGTAATCGAACTGAAATCCAAGGCCAAACGAGTTGGCTCCTGGTCGTTCAAACAGCTAGCCGTACAGCTAGACAGTGTTGAATTTCTCTCGGAAAGCCTGCCACAGGTATTGTCCAGCTTCGATATCATAACAAAGGCATCGTCTGCTGTTTTGAATTTCATGAACCTGGTGGCCGGTGTAGAACAACCAGTCAAATTGATCGTTTCCGGTGGAAGTTTCCGCTTCCCAAAGGACGCCAGCATTGTTCTCAGATGTTCCAAGAATCTCAAAATGAGAATTGCTAGTGCGGATGATGGCTCACCGAAGGCAGCATTCGAACGAGAACTGCTGGTCAATCTGCAGAACTTTGAATCCTTTGAAGAAAGAACAATCAATTTGGAAGCCCTATGCGACCTTCCCGGTAGACGCGAGGAAAAACCAATTGAACAAAAAGTAACCCTCCAGGTCCCTTGGAGTCGCAACGAAATACAAATTCCTCTGCATTTCCTTCCGGCGATGATCGCCTCCTGTCGGTTGCATTCTTCCGGTGCGAAGAAATTCCTGCAAGTGATCCTGAAAGGCGTTAGCGATCATAAGCTCATTCTCAAGGATTCTTCAATGTCATGCGCTGCCGAAGGCGTAACCATCATCGATATAAATCCCAAATCGCAAAATGAAATCACCATGAGCAAAACAGTGTCCATTTCGTATCTATACGAAATTCAAGTCGAAGCTCTCAAAGCAGAGAGTGAACTTTCTGTGATTCATGTAGACTACCGGATGAGCTTTGCAGACGCCAGCCTACCGGAGGAAATTCGATACTACATTCCATATTCCGTCACGTTCGATGTGATGGACTACACGACATTATTTACCATTTGCGCAAAGATAGAGCCATCCGAGCTATGCCGGGTCAATTCGGTATGTCATTTAAATTTGCGAATATCCAAGGTGCATGCAAACCCATTCTCAGATCTTATGTACGAGGTGCTTGCCGATCAGAACATGTGGGTGGTCGTGGGGCGAACGGCAGGTAAGAAAAATTAAACACATATTCTCCCAAAAGTAGTACATGCCGGTATGTTTTGCCAACAGGTGTCATCTCGATGGAGGATGTCGATAGTCACAGCATCACGCTGGACGTTCTACCGCTTACTGCTGGCTTCCTGCCGCTGCCAAACATACGCCTGTCCAAATACATTGCAGCAACTAAGTCGTCCAAAACGGATGCCCACCCTCGACTGCAGCCCTTTCCGCCGGGACAGATTTATAACTCGACCAAAAGCATGCAAATCCATGTGCTAGCTAGTAGCATCGTAGAAGCTTGATTCGTATATTCTTATGTTACGTTATTTATTGCTATGAATTATACTCGATAATAAAGTATTACTATTGGACTTGAAAGTTCTTTATGTATAAACTACGCTACCCATAAACGCATAACAGTCCCATTTGAATTGAAAATCAAGCTAAGATGTGATTGTTAAGGTTGGGCAGTACGCCGAGGAACCGGTACGGAATGCAGTGCTGTCTTTATTACAGAACCACTTACGGTGCTTGCATATCTTCATGAATCGAAGACCAACACACAGAACTCCTTGCTATGTACTTCATGCATATTTCTAGATGTCCCTGGTGTAATTTCCGCAAACACCGCTGTCGATGCTTCTCGTGAATTACCACCGTGACGCGTTCACCGAACATGAGCGATACTCCAACAGCACACAACACTAAGCTTTTCAAATAGACCAATGTAACATAGGGGGAGCATCCCGCAGTTTGGCCCTGGATCTCTAGTTGCATGAAACAAATCAACTGGTAGTAGGTTCAATATCATTGTGATATTGATCCTACCACCAAAAAATTTGTTCCGAATGGCCGGAAGTCCAAGCTGGTGCATGGGATGCTCAATATGCCCCACCTGTTCACTATGCACCTCTTACCCCTATCTGCCATTTTTAGAAAATCGAAGTTGAAGTTCGACAGATTATTATTTTAACTGTTTAGAAACAATACATTTTGCAATACTATTTTTAATGTACTAAGTGAATAATAACGCTGAAAATTCAGTAAACGGTAAAATCAGTTTTTTCTACCGAGCTCGGCTGTGCAAATCTCGGCAAAATTAGTTTCACTGAGTTCTCAGCAAAAGTGACATTTGATTTCTAAGACTCGGATAATGCTTAGCTGAATCTCAACAAACAAATGAAATGTTTGCTGAGATCTCAGTAAAACTTTTTTTGCCGAGATGTGCACAGCCGATCTCGGTAGAAAAAATTAAGTGTGTATGATTATATTAAATAAATGAATGTTAATTGTTTTTGTATCACATACAATGATGGAAGTGCAATAGTTTGTATCGCTTAACTTGATTTGTTCACATTTCAAATTCAACTAGTTTTTGGAATCAAAACAATATTTTAACTCTATTGATTAATTGATCTTAGTTGGTTAATTAACAAAATTCGGTTTTCCGAAGGAAGAAGCGTCAGCAGGAAGACCGAGATCGCGAGGCGATGGAAAATCTGTACCGCGTAAACGACACACGGAAGTTCTACGAGAAGCTAAATAGTTCGCGCAAAGGCTACGTGCCGCAAGCCGATATGTGCATGGACTTGGACGGTAACCTTCTCACGAACGAGTGTGAGGTGATTGAGAGGTGGAAGCAGTACTATGACGAGCACCTCAACGGTGAAGCAGCAGAAAACGAAGGTGGCACGGCAACAGACCTAGGAGCACGCGCAGAAGACGACAGGCTACCGGCCCCTGATCTTCAAGAAGTTGAGGAGGAGATCGGTCGGCTGAAGAACAACAAAGCAACGGGTGTAGATCAACAACCAAGTGAGCTATTGAAATACGGTGGTGAAGCACTGGCTAGAGCGCTGCACTGGGTAATTGCCAAGATTTGGGAGGAGGAGATATTACCGGAGGAGTGGATGCAAGGTGTCGTATGCCCAATCTACAAAAAGGGCGACAAGTTGGATTGCTGCAACTACCGCGCGATCACACTGCTGAGCGCCGGCTACAAGGTACTCTCCCAAATTCTATGCCGCCGTCTGTCACCATATGCAAGAGAGTTCGTGGGGCAATACCAGGCGGGATTCATGGGTGCCCGCGCTACCACGGACCAAATTTTCGCGATTCGGCAGGTTCTGCAGAAATGCCGCGAATACAACGTGCCCACACATCATTTGTTCATCGATTTCAAATCCGCATACGACACAATCGATCGAGATCAGCTATGGCAGATTATGCACGAGTACGGATTTCCGGATAAACTGACGCGATTGGTCAAGGCAACGATGGATCGAGTGATGTGCGTTGTTCGAGTATCGGGGACACTCTCGAGTCCCTTTGAATCTCGAAGGGGGTTACGGCAGGGTGATGGACTTTCGTGTCTGCTGTTCAACATCGCGTTAGAAGGTGTGATCAGAAGAGCTGGGATAGACACGAGTGGCACGATATTCAGGAAGTCCATCCAGCTCCTTGGTTTCGCCGATGACATTGACATTATGGCACGGAACTTTGAGATGATGGCGGAAACGTACATCAGACTGAAGGCTGAAGCTAGACGGATTGGACTTGCCATCAACGCATCAAAGACAAAATACATGAAAGCAAGAGGTTCTAGGGAAGACAATGTTAGCACAGACAAACAGACATAACACTCGCAAGTTGTTCATCGAACAAGCATTTAACGGTAAATTTAAAAGTATCGTAGTTGGTAGTACCGCCACCTGTGGCGTGCATAGTCAATTCCCTTGCGTTTGACGTTTACACACTACCGCCATCTGTTCAGCGTACTACCCACCACAGTGTATTCAACAGATGGCGGTAATGTTTTAGCAACGATGTTTTACAGTGATAAATATTCAATGTGTTATGTCTGTTTGTCTGTGATGTTAGCCTCCCACCCCGAGTTCAGATTGACGGTGACGAAATCGAGGTGGTCGATGAGTTCGTGTATTTGGGCTCACTGGTGACCGCCGAAAATGATACCAGCAGAGAAATTCAAAGACGCATTATGGCAGGGAATCGTGCCTACTTTGGACTCCGGAGGACGCTCCGGTCGAATGAAATTCGCCGCCGCACGAAGTTGACTGTCTACAAGACGCTGATTAGACCGGTGGTCCTTTACGGCCACGAGACCTGGACTATGCTCGTGGAGGACCAACGCGCCCTTGGTGTTTTCGAACGGAAGGTGTTGCGTACCATCTACGGTGGAGTGCAGATGGATGACGGAACGTGGAGGAGGCGAATGAACCACGAATTGCACCAGCTGCTGGGAGAACCATCCATCGTCCACATTGCAAAAATTGGGCGATTACGGTGGGCTGGGCACGTCGTAAGAATGCCGCACGACGACCCAGTGAAAATGGTTCTAGAAAGCGACCCAACAGGAACAAGAAGAAGAGGCGCGCAGCGGGCAACGTGGATCGACCAAGTAGAAGGTGACCTGCGGACCCTTCGCAGACTACGAGGCTGGCGAACTGTGGCCATGGATCGAGTAGAGTGGAGACGACTTCTTCGGACAGCAGAGGACAACAAGGCCTTAGCCTGATTGGTAAGGTAAGTACGGTTAATTAATGGCACCAAGAACACAGCAAAAAAAAATGTAATATCGATCAATGTAATTCAAGCTGATGTATGAAATAATGATGTAATAGCAAAAAGCAGATACAATATTACATCAATGGATGTAATTTTGTTCGCAAAATTGAGGTACATCGTACAACGTTATATTACACAACCGATGGATTGACCTGGTTGCAGCAGTTTGGATGTAATATTCAACAACTTTTTTTTTTCTGTGAAATGTGCAAAATATTCCGATGCACTCATTTCTCCTACTCTAATTTCTCCCTTTCTGAGTATTTCTATTCAAAACGATGATGTAAATAATTATATCGATCGTCATTCGCTGATCTGAGCTGACAAACGAACGCTGGTACGAACATGGGTAAAGCGTTGAAACCAAAGTTTGTCAAAGTCAACGAAGAAATTTTGTATCCATAATCTTGTCCATAATTGAATGACTGTTCATGGCTATTCAGCATGGAAATGGAAATAATCGATTTATAAATCTACCCTAATAAAATAACCATAAAAGAGAGCTTAACGACGTGTTCGGGGTATCATCCAAACCATTTGAGGAATAGTTTACCCATCCGGAATACAGTTCGTTTATGGTATTTGTTTACTAGGGTAATTTATAGCTCTTGGATTCTTAAATTTGTATCATTTGACTATGATTGATTATGATTTTTATTTGAGAATTGGGAATTTTTTAAACCAGAAATTGGAAAATATAGCACTCAAATGATTTGAGTGCTATATTTTCCAATCTCTGGTTTAAAAAATTCCCAATTTTCAAAAAAAAATCAACATAAGACAATCATCCGTAATTCAAATGCATATAACAATAGTAATGCTCGCCCTAATAAAATTTGTATGGTTATTTTGCTTAACGACGTGTTTGGGGTATCATCCAAACCATGTGTATCATCCAAACCATGTCTTTAAATGCTTTTATTTTGCAAATGAAGCATTTTATTTAAATCTGGTTGCTGCAATAGTGGTAGAAAAGCTGAAATCTACGTATACAACTAAAAATCTGAATAGAAATGATTTTTTTCTATATTATATGTCTATTGCGTAGTCCTTAAGTCTTCTACTAACGTAGCATCAACCAGATTTCATTAAAACTAATTTGTTCGCAAAGCAAATACATTTTAAGATTGCATTCGTATACCTCACCGTGTAAAATTTTGAAACCATCATCACTTTCATATTTCTTCTATTCTCCACGAGTGCCAACTTTGATTAGCCAATTAACCACTTCATTCGAGCAGTTAAAATGACGTTTACTACCACTCGAACTTTGAATTAAAACATTATTTTGAGAGATTTTTTCTTCTAGAACCTTGAGAAAAGTAGCCAACATTTGTGCGTTTCATAAAAAAATAGAAATTTTTTGGTCCCGTTTTGTGAAATCGCTGGTAGAAATTCACGCCAAAACTGCTTGACAAAGTGGTCAATACTCGTGCCACCACTGCTGGCCACTCTTCCATCGCAGGGAATTAATGGGCAGATAAACTAGCACGCACAGGTGCATCTCTTAATTTCACAGGACCTGCGCCAGTTATTCCGATATCTCCGTGTTGGGTGAAGCAAAAGATCAGTTCTTGGGCTTAAAGACAACACATACAGTATTGGAGTAGCTTGGAATGTCGTTAAACAAAATTGTCTTCTTTCCTTTATTTAACGTCGGTCTCTGTTCCGATATTTTTAGGATATCGCACCCATTCAAACACACATGGGCCGGGACCAACGGCTTTACTTCCCTTCCGAAGGAAGACGTGACCAGAGATTTTTATGCCTCAGAAAAATCCCACCGACCTCGG